CAGGCGCCGCCGCGCGCCGCGAAAACCTGCCGTGGCTCTCATCTCCCCCTCCGCACCTTGCCCGGGGTTCTGCCCCGCACCGCGGGAAGGAATCGCTGAAGCTGACACGTGGGGGTCCCCGCTGCCAGCGGTGCTTTGTGCCGGCGAAAGGCTGCTTGGTGTGCGAGCCTGGGAGGTTGCTCTTATCGTACAAAGGTGAAAATGAACCCATGAGATTCCGTTCTGAATACTTCCAGGAAACAAAGGCCTACATTTTCACTCGCAGTCTAGAGAGTTTCCTTTCAACCAGGATTTCACCAGAAAGCCTCCCTTCCCTGCTCCCCCTCGGTATCCCGCAGGCTTTTGGCACTTCGTGCCCCAGCACGCACCAGTAACTGCAGCAGCTCGCGCCTTGCAGACAGCAGAGCCTCAGAGCCGAGGCCAAGTGGGTATTTCCTTAAGTCAAATTTCCAAAGATGATGGAACAGCGAGGCTTGCTCCGCCTGCACCGCAAAGCCAGGAGAGCGGGCGAAGACGGGCGGCCAGCAGCCGCAGCTGGGGATTGCCCTTTCCAGAAGCTGCCTCTCCCAACTTTCCCAGCCTCTTGCGGGTAGCAGCAAGCTCAGCCGCTGCTTCTGCCCCAGCTCTGCGCCTTGCCTGTGCTTCTTCAGGAGCCGGAGCTTCCCTTTGCGGTCAGGAAGCTGTTCTGCCCGAATTCCTGCACTGGCTGAGGTTCAGCTTTGGTCACCACGGCTGTAACCAGGGAACGACCAGCCTAACCGAGCGCTCATGTTCGTGAGTATTTCCAAAAAGGAATGAGGAGCTCAGGGGGTGATTCACAGGCAAGAGACATCTTCCTTAGAAGTCAAACGCCTTTGCCACACGAAGCACGCTCCCAGGGCTTTAGGCAACAGCCACATCCCCAGCACTGGTTGCTTCTCCTTCTACAGCCCGTGACGCTGGGTTTCCAGCAGCTGCTGTGGTAGCACAGCCCCATCGGCGAGGTGTCCCAGTGGAGAAGCCACACT